GCACCCCCGTTCGATTGGGGAAGGCCGAGGCCCTGGGGGTGGAGTCCCCTCCCCGGTAACGGCGCCAAAGTTTGTGTGGAAACCGGGGGAGGGGTCGCCTCCCGTTCGTTGAAGCCAAGGACTACGGTGCCTGTCACTCACTGCGTCCGCTTCAGAGGTCCTCAGCGACCAGCATGGTGTGCCGTTGGTTCTGCCTGTCTGAAATACCTTTGAGTTGTTTCTGTTGATTCTCTATTTAATAGGGGTGTGTTTCTAGTTGGCAGCCGAGAAAAGAAAAGAAAACCCACCCTGATCACCAGAGGTTCTGCCTGTCACCCTGAACAACAGTCTGAAAGGGACACTGATAAAATCCGAGCAATGGATCTAGTCACAAGTCTCGTCACATAGAATCACCGTTTTAACCGGTGAAATTCAGTACCAGGCATAACCTAAGTGTGTTCACAACGAGTACAGGGACATATGCAGGAGTCAGGGGTTTTGTTAGCCCCTCTTAGTGTCGAACTTAAGAGCTCTTGTTTGATCTTCTGACAAATGAAGGAAATCCTGATTCAGGACAAATTGCGAGGGTCGTCCGATAGCGCAATGATCCGGATGAAGTCGTCTGTGACAGTTTTTCTGTAGAATCTCAACTTAACAGAAGCAATGCTGCCATAAAGGAAAGGTCTCTCTTTTCGTAATTATCAATGTAGAGCTCCGAAGTGATGGTGTAAAGCAACAAAGACAGTCACACATTTTGTTTACGGCTACTCATGCTCTGGCGGATGATCAGATATTGGACTTTCATAGTCACCTCAAGCAAGCTTTTTTCCCTCAACCATCACCTTAGGTTGCCAATTCCCAATGGATGAATTAGAGCAAGTTGACGTTAGAATGTGGTTTAACTTACTCATGTCAGATGGACAGGGCTCGTAAATCATCACTCACCTGTGCTATCGCCCGGTGTACTCTCTCTCCCTCATTGTGCCTCACTTGTTGCTTACTCAATCAACACGCTCAATCCTTTCCCCCACAGGCTCAATTATGGACGTAAAAGGTTCTATTTTCAACCAGACCAGCAAATCAAATCGGTCCGCAACAGCTATCCCCAACCAATTATCCGACATCTCCCACTAGTCAACTTGAATTTCAAAGAAAAGAGGTTAGTAAGCATTTAGTATCAGGTAAGCCTGCAAGTCAATTGGCTGTTGTATTCGTGCTGCCTCATAGCCAACTTATATCTCGGTGAACTATCCCTCTTGTCCTACTTTCTCCTTCTTGCCCTTACTGACGCACTCTCTCGCTCATCCTCCCTCAAGTGCGTTGTCTCCCCTTTCTTTCAGTTCACTGCTCGTTCTTGGAGACGACCGCAACCTCGCGCTCGCTTGCCCTCACTATCGTTTTTACCCTTGGCTTCTCTCTTCCCCCGTTCTTCCTCTCTCTCTCCCACAACCGTGGACTGCTCGTGCTAGTTTAAATAGGATCTGCTTGCTTGGAACTGCTGGACACTCAAACAAATCTAAGACGAAGTTGAGAGCTGATTTCAGGGTTAATTACGCTGTGCTCTGCACCCAAGGGTGGGCGCGCTCATTTGGCTATTATCTTCCTTCATACTCATCCAACATACTCATCCAAGCAAGGACCAGGAGCAGTTTACCAGGCGAGTCTTAGAGTGTCGGCCAGGGAAGGGAGAAGATGACAGGAAAAAAAAGAAATAATAAAATAAACAGGGATGGTAGAGGCTCTATGTTTGAAGATGCATGAAAACTTGAAGAGGCAACTGTAATGACCCGCCATAACACAAACTGAGAACACTGCTGATTTCTGATGTTCTGCCGATGGAATGGATGCCAAGATTCCCGCATTCTGCTGTGTTTTCTAAGTCTGTATGTGTGTGTCTGTCTGAGTGCTTGTCGGCATGAGTGTGTGTGTGACCCACAAGGGTACTTGCTTGTTTGGCAGGCCCGTAGGGCCGGTACTTACCTGTGGCCGTGGCATTGAGGGTTGCAGCAGGGAAAAACACTTGAGTAGCAGGTAGGCCGGTACCGCACCCAGTAGTAGTAGATGTGCCCAGTACTCGAGGTCGAGCAGAAGAAGACAAAGTTGGCATTTTTAGAGGCCCAGTAGCGGTAGGCTACGTCTAGGCCGGTACCAGTACATCTAGTCTGAGTCTAGAGCCTGTATGGGCAATATCAGAGTCTGCAATGATGTTTCCCTCCGAAAGGGAGGAGGTACCGGTTGCTTGGGAGGCCGAGCGGCCTGGAAGTCACCGCCCATGAGGCAAGCAGGCCGCTATATCAAGAGGCCGAGGCAAGAGCTCGGCCTGCAAGTTTGGCGACACGCTGCTGGAGCGCTGGCTGGAGTGGCGCTGGGTACTACAGCGCTGCTAGGAGGAAGAAGCCGGGAGCTTCCACCTTGGCTATGGTGGAGCTCTATCGGTAGGAGGAGGAGGGAGAAGGGGACCAAGGAGGAGAGTGTCGGGGTACTTACTTGGCTATGGTAGACACCATCTTCATCACCTTGTTAGGTGCTGCATCTGGAAGGCCCCAGTGGGGGTAGTGCCGCATCAAGGAAGCTCGGGACACAGGCATGGCGGTTGAGTGGGCAGCGACATAGCTGCATGGAGTTGACCTAGGGACAGAAGGGCAGCAGCATAGCTGCTTTGGGTTGTCCTTTGGACAGGAGGGAGAGCCCTCAGTACTCCGCCATAGCCTCGACATGTATGTAGAGGAAGAGGAAGGGTGGCCATGGCTATGATGGACCTCATGTTGTGCCTGCAGTAGAAGTGGGATTCGGACATTGATTCTGGTTCAGCCATTCAACATTATTATTGTTATTTCTTGTTCGGATAAGATGGGAGGAGGTAAGGAGGAGGAGATTGGTTGGCGAGGAAGAAGAGCCTTGTCATTGGTCTATGCTGGAGTACATCATCTTCTTCTTCTTTCTTACTTCTTCTTCTTCTTCCCTCTCTCTCCTCTCAAGTTCATTCATTTCTTTTTGCAATTGGATGGCATTGTACTTTCTGATGTTTGTATACTTCGAAATTGGCCAGGATCGTAACATTGGTATCGGAGCGGATTCTACTTGCTGGCGAGAGTTGACTTTGCTGCTATAACCCTAACCCTAGTGGTAAGGGCTAACGACTTAGGGTTAGGGCGGAAGTTAGGGTTAAGTGGGGCAGCGTGGTAAAGGGAAGCTGCCCTCACCTGACAGGGCTGTGTAGGGTCGAGACTAGACCCGGCCAGGTTGCTTGAGTGCATGTTTGTGGTGGTGAGACACAAGGTGGGACTTCGTGATGCAACTTGAGAGAGGCGACAGTGAAGGGCACCTACAACTTGAATCTGGACTTCAAGGAAGACAAAAAGTGACTTTAGGGCTCCTCTCAAGTTAGGCGATCTTGAGGGTGGCAGCCATATCTGCACCTACTGACTACAAGTTGCCGCTTTGATCTTAAACATCGACGGGGGATCCGACTTTGTTCTTTGGGGTAGATGTTGACCCTCCTAGATGATAGGACACTAGTGTAGAGGATGCTAATTGGGTCAGGATCAGGAGGAGAGGGGGGTGAGTTCTTTCATCTCAAGCGCCCGGTCACTTAGGTAAGTGCCATGCCACCAAGGTGTCCATGTGTGTGTGCATGGAATTGACTGCGTGTTGGGGTTTTATGGGTTTTTCCTCCATCCTCCATAGTCTTGATCTTGCGTGAAGTGCGTGAACTGCTTACTCGCCTGATGAGTGAATGGATGGAATATCTGGTGTGCCATGCTATCTCTTTCTACAGTGCTTTATCTATTTCATTCTGAACGGTTGTAGTCTGTAGGTTCTTTATGGGGGGAAATTTCGTTTTTCAATTCGGTAGGGACATAGTAGGTCTTTGTGGAACTCTTATTGGTTGGGACCCGGTTTTGACTCCACTGGGACCATTTGGGATTCAGTGGGACCAGGCCCAAACAAGAAGGGCCCCTCAGGCCAAATCTGTTGACGTCAGTTACCTTGCTCTATCTGATTGGGACTCGGACTTTATGCTCTCGGACCAAGACACTCGCTGCGGAGGGGACCTCCGCTGAGATGTTTTATTGGACTTTACCGCACGATCCGCCGTCTGACTCGCACCTTGAGCACCACTCAATTCTTTCTTGCATTACGTAGTACACTTTGAATCTGATTTGCTGTGTCTTCATGGAGCTTAGTCCGGCTAGGCTTAAGAGGACCTCATACGTAGTCGGTCCATACTGTGTGGCTGAATAAGATCTCTCTGAACTTTTTTTTTTTTTTTTTTTTTTTACTGCTCTCCAGTCCAAATGAATTGTCGCTCTGGCTAGGAGTTCTACCTTCTCTTCTGATTGATTTCAAACTGTTTCTTTCATTGGGTTCGTTAAATGCCTGCGTCTACACGATCGCAAACGAGAGAAAGAGAGAGAGAGAAGAGAGAAGCTTCTCAGTGTTGCTCTTGAGGGAGTGAGGAGAGGGAAGAGGAGTGTTCTTCCCAGAAGTGTGAGGAAGTACGGACCCCTCTTGAGAGACTTAGTGACACCCTCATCCTCCATCATGGCATCTGCAGCAGAATGGAAGCTGCAAATGGACACTGCCCCTGAGGCAGAAAAAGCGCAGTACCTATTCTTCTATGAGAAAGCATTGAAGAGGGAAGAGAAGGAGAAGGAGAGGGAAGACAAAGTAAAGGCTCATGAAGCCGTCTTCAGTACCGTGCCCGCCTTAACCGATGCTGAGGTGGAAGAGAAAATTGTCCCACTTCTCAAGGCCTTAGTAGAAGTCTGGGCTGTTGAAGACCATACTGGCCTATTCGCAAAAGTGTTTGACGAACTCTAGAAGTTGGGTGAGGATATGGCCCGGATGGCACAGCAGCACCGTGACCATCTGCAACAGTTTGCTAACTTGCAGCCAGCCCAAAATGTCCTTCCTCCTGCTTACCCTGCTTCTAGCGTTGTGTGTCAGTGCGTTCTTGCCCCTCTAACCATATCTTCTTCTTCTTCTGCTTCTTCCTCTTCTTTGAGTGTGGCCAACAGCTTAACCGGATCTGCTGCAGGTCCAGACCCCGCTGCTGCTGCTGCAGCGGCAAGTGGCAGTGCAGGGCATTATGGAACTGTTGCAGCCCCGAATCCGGACCCAGCAATCGCTAGTCCTAGTTGCAGCTTTCCTTACATGGATAGAAAGGCGACACAAATTTCGTCTAAATACGACGGAAAGGACGATATTGAATCCTGGATCAGCTCTATGCGATCCTACTTTGATGTGTTGGGGACACTCCCAGTTACTCAGTCGTCGGTCCTAGGGACCAATGTGGAACCCGCCATAAGGGGTTTCTTAGAAATCCAAGCTATGCAAGTAGGCTATAAAAGAATAGGCCTGAACAAATGGCTGAAGGCTACGCCTGTAGCGACACTCGAGGAACTCTTGATCAAACAGTATGATGATCCACATGCTGCAGCCAAAGCTAGACTTCAGCTTGACAAGCTCAAGCACAACAATTGGACCGGCACCATGCATAGTCTGCAGCAGTACGTTAGTAAATTTTTTGCTACTCCTGATTTGGAGATGACTGCGCAGTCTTGCTTGGATGTGATTAAAGGTATGGTCCCCTTTACTATAACACATCGTCTGGGGCTCAGACTCATAGCGTATACAGATTGGCTTACCCTCATGCGAGACTTAGTCAAGTTGGAGGCACAAGACCTCCCGGGTGGATCGGGTGGCAAAAAGGCCACCGGCCGCAAACGGTTCCCAGGCAGCAACCGTTTTTGAGCGCACGATCTACTTGAGGATGACGAGGAACCCTTCCCAGAGGATCCTTCTCTTGATGACGATCAAGAGCAAGGCTGCGAGGCATCTTGCTCTTCGTCAACTCATGAGTCTTGAGTATGTAAATGACAAAGAATCCATGAATGCCTTCAAGAAGACTGCCTTTAAAAGTAAGGGACCCAAGACCACAATGAAGAACAACACTAACACCATTCTTGTTCCCAAGGGAGCGAAGATTCCACCCAAACCGGAAGATCCTACCACAAAACCATGGGTAGATCTTTGGATAAGTGAAAGTGAGTGGAAACACAGGGTGAAGAAAGGGGTTTGCCTGCATTGCACCAAACTGGGACACTCAGGCGAACATTGTTTCAGATTGCAGCAGGGAAACCAGCAACGGGGGTAGAGATATCATCAGCACACTCTACAGACAGAGAGGCTGAACATGGAAGTGCAATTCCTTCATTGGATGCTGATCCTACTCAGCAAACCTCTCTTGAAACCCCAGCTGATGCTGATTCCAAGGCTGAGAAATTGCACATCCTCTTTAAGGAGCCTTGGGTGGACATCCTCTATAAGGAGTCTTAGGTGGAGTCGGAAGAAATTGACTTTGACGCGTTGTGCTCATATGAAGCAAGAACGCGCGCAAGAGAGAACGAAGTTGATCTTCTTTAAACTCTATATTAATGGCCGTTACATCCGTGCATTGGCTGATTGTGGTGCAACCGCCAACTACTTCTCACCGCATGGCATTCGTAAGGCACGCTTGGGGATGAAGCAAGTGATCTTGCAGAATCCTTGTCGGACCCAAGTGGGCAACCAAGAGGTTGTCTACTCTGCGCATGCAGTCAAAGGTGTGCGCACTACCTTTGACACAGATCGCACAATCACGCATGAACTGAACTTCTATGTCCTTGATTAGTGCCCCTTCGACGCGGTTATTGGCTTGGGTTGGTTGCAGGCCCAATGTGAAAGAACCACGTGGAAGGACTCACAGTTCATGGTAAAAGATGCCATGGGAATCGAGCGTCCAGTCCTCTTGGATGAGCCGCACGAGTCCCAAGTAACTTTTCTCAATGCAATGCAATTCTGCAAAAAGTGGCGCATGCGCAAAGTTGATGAGCAAATGTATATAGCCTTTGTTAGGCCTGCTCATGTGCCTTCTATTTTTGTTGTACATAATGATTTTACTTTGCATGTCGTTTCTACCTCTAATGCAACTACTTCTACCTCTACTAAATCTACTTCTAGTCCAAACGACTCTGCTTCCAATTCTGTTGTTTTGGCTGCACCTATGCAATCCGGTATGCTTGCACCTGAAAGTGATGATCCACTTCCGAAAGTCCCATCAGAAATCCGCAACCTTCTCAACCGATTCCTTGAAATCTTGGCCGAACCGCATGGAGTTCCCGTGCGTCCGGTCCGACACAAAATCGAGTTGGTAAAAGGTAGCACTCCTTCAAAAGGTTGTGTCTATCGAATGGGCTCAGGCGAATTCGAAGAGTTGCATAGACGGATTGATGACATGATTGGGAAAGGATGGATCAAGCCAAGCGAATCCGAGTTCGGTGCACCAGTTCTGTTTGTCCCAAAGAAAGTAGGCAAACTACGGATGCGTATTGACTACTGCGGACTGAATAGAATAACAAGAAAGAATGCATATCCTTTGCCGCGTATTGATATTATGCTTGATGCTGCAGGTGGGTGCAAGGTCTTTAGCAAGATCGATCTCAACTCTCGCTACCACCAGATTGAAGCCGACCCTGCAGACCAGCACAAAACTGCATTCAAAACTCGCGATGGGCTACACGAGTTTATCGTCATGCCCTTCGGCCTCACAAACGCACCAGCCACCTTTCAAAGTCTCATGGACAAGGTGTTCCGCGATCAGATAAAATCGATTTGTTGTTGTTTATCTCGATGATATACTAATCTTCAGCAAGTCGATGGAGGAACATATGAGACACCTTGAGGAAGTGTTACAGATCCTCAAGGATGCGCAACTCCATCTCAACTTCAAGAAATCTGAGTTTGGGAGGGACAACGTCATCTACCTTGGACATCGGTTGTCTGTTGCAGGCCGAGATCCCGAGGCAACCAAAGTTGAGGTCATCCGCAACTGGCCTCAACCGGCCAATGTCCGCAAGTTGCGTTCTTTTCTTGGTCTTGCGTCATGCTACCGTAAGTTTGTACCCAAATTCTCTATCATCGCCCGTCCGCTGTCCAAGTTGACAAGTAACAACGTGTCTGACACATGGGATGGGGAATGCACAACAGCCTTCCAAGTGCGGATGCAAGCTTGTATGAGATTGGTGCAGTGCTGCAGCAAGATGACGGCGATGGCTTACGTCTGCTCAAATATTACAGCAAACGCATGCCCAGTCACAAGGTAGCTGCCTCCACTTACATGCGTGAACTCTACGCCTTGAGAGAGGCACTAGATCATTGGAAACAATACCTCTTGGGTCGTCATTTCAAAGTGTTCTCAGATCACGAGACTTTGAAATGAATTCAGACACAGATTAATCCATCAACCACATTGACCCGGCCACTTCTCCAATCGCCCGACACTTCGTCTGCCTTTCTCAATGTGCGCCTGTGTGCTCTGTGGTCGGTGCTCTACGGGTCTCTCTCTCTCTCTCTCTCTCTCTCTCTCTCTCTCTCTCTCTCTCTCTCTCTCTCTCTCTCTCTC